TCTCTATCATTCTTTTTAGGTACAAATAAAATATAATATAGGATAATTATCATCCTATCATATCAATAATCTTATGTATCAAACATGACATTTATTTGTTTTAATAATATATATACTATTTTTAAATTTTATATTCAATTTTTTGTCAAAATAAAAACTATATATGTATAAATTAGATTTCAAAAATAAAATATTAATCATTTTCATGTATAAAATAAGTACATACAAGTAGCTTGTGGATTACATATTACCTAAACTTAACTTATGAACTCTATATAAAGATGGATTGTGATAACACATGGATAAATATATGTAAATTAATTTTGAAAACAATGTGCCTCTAAAAAAAATTGCATCTTCAATTATATATATATATATATATATGTATATATATTAATAAAATTATTATTTAATATATTAATTTAAGAAATTAATTTAATAAAAATATTACATTTATATATAATTAAGACATAATTTATATTAAACAAGTAATATTTTTATAATTCGAAAAATCATTTTGTGAATAAAAATATTATATTTATATATATTAAAAAATAATTTATATTAAAAATAATATTTTTATAAATATTATTAAATTAATTTCAGATCGAATTGAATTAAATAAGACTTATAAATATATGTATGCATTCGAAATCAAATATAAAAACTAATAATTTAAGATCGAATTGTTACAGAATTGGATGATATTGTTATGTAGTGGGATCAAAGTTCACGGCAAACATAAATCTGTTCCAACAGCCCTTACCATCCCTAATGGATTGGGATTGTGCTAGTTTAGGTGGAAAAATGTGCCTTGTAATTGGAGAGAGATTAATTAAAAAGTGAAAGTAGGAAAAAATTAAAAAGAATGAATGTAGAGATTATGATATTAGGTGCATTGGTTTGGGTCATGTATGGAAGCTAGCTAGCATTTCTCAAAGGGTATCGAATCAGTCCCCTTTCCTTTTGCTTTTTCACAGTTTCCTACAGCCTTCTTTACCATTCCCCAATAAAATGGTGCCAAATTTCTCTCTAAAATGGTGCCAAATTTCTCTCTTATCTTTTTTTTTTTCCTTCACAACTTCTCTCCTGGAAGAAAGAGATATAATCAAAAGAAAATAAAAAAAAATAATAAATAGGAAGGGAAGGGGAAAAGAAAATGACAGTGAAAAACCCACTTGCAGTGAAGATAAAAAAGAAAAAGAAAAGATGGTCAAAATTTCAACCTCCTATACTTCTCTTCCATCATCAGCTTCCACTATCTTTATCGAAACTCCACCATTTTTCCCTTTCTAATTTAATTTTGAACCTATTCTCCTTAATCATCTTTCTCCTTGTCTTCTTGTTCTATTAAACACACATAAAATCCAAAAATTATTATATAACAATACCCTAAATACAAATTAAATTTTTAATTTTTATTAAATTTATATATAATTTTTTAAAAAAATTTAAATTATATCATTTTTATTGTGAGTCATGTTTAAACCTACCATACCTAAAATTAACTTATACCGTTCATTGAAATTAGATATGGCCATGCAACTTTTTTTTTAACCTCAGCTCCATGGAAATGACCAAAACCTGACATGCACGAGTGACATTAATATATTATTCACAAATCTATATGCTTCTTCCCTTCTACATTAGCTAGTTAGCTTCTTCAATTTTGAGGAAGATGGTTTTCATATGATATAGATTATTCTTTCTCTTGGAATTCTGGCCAAACCGAAGTTTGATGTCTGGAAATCCTAGACGGAATAATAAGATATAGGTGAACATCACTCTTTAAAAAAAAATATTACTTTTGCTAAAAAAGATTAATGATATTTTGTAATTCAATCATCAAATTAAAATTATTTTAAAAAAAGCAAACTGTAATTTTATTAAATTCAATCTTAAGGAAAAAAATTTGACATGAGATGAGATTAGATATAAACATATGCATATTAAGATTTAATTCTTTTAAACAAGTAGACCAAATTCAAGTGGCACTTATTATAAAAGCAGTATGTACACACAATATAATATATATATATATATATATATATATATTATATCAATCCCAAAGATGAATGAGACTTCTTGTTTTTGAAGTTTTACATGGAAGAAGATTTGCTTGAAGATTTTTAACTAGAAGTTAATGTATGGAAACAAGAACAATTCAAACACTATTTTATGTACAAAATGGCACCTTAATCCAGAATAGAAAATTTTCCAGCTTTAAAAATAAAGGGTATTCTCAAAACCCTTTTGACTTACGTGAAAAAATATGAAGTTCCAAGTACACAACAATAGAATATTCAGAATTGAAAAGCAACCCCAATTTTTCATATATAGTGAACGTTAAGGGGATGGGTGCTTCAAAGCATATTATTGAAAGGAGACATGACCCCTCTTTAATTTGTTGATTCTAAGATAAGAATAAGCCGGCATGGCATGGGATCCTTTTTGCTCTAAGGCTTTTTCTTTTTTTATATAAGAAATTTACGGAATAGTCATCTTGTCTGGCAAGAAATAGTGAGTTTGGTTCCTGCTTTTCCAATACTCTCATAACTCAATAGGGAAAAAAGCATTAAGACCACATCTTTGATCTGATAGAGCTTAATTAATTCTGTTAGCTAACAAAGCAACTGAGGGACCCTAATTTGCCACAGTCAAAAGTTTTTCTCTTTGGTTCATGATCAAGCGCAAGATTAAAAAGATTGGATGTGATTGCTGTGTTTGGAGAGTTGCAATGCATGGAAAAATTTGCTTTATGTAGGGACATAGGCTGGTGGGGGTTTGACTCTGACACATAAATGTGTAATATATATAGACATGTTGCCGGCTCTCTAGAAGCTTATAAATTAAAATATAAATGAAATTGCATGGAACATAGGCGAATTAAGAACACACACACATATAATATATATATATATATATATATATCCAATGTATATATGGCTTTCGAAGGTGGAATGGAACAAAGACAAGGCCAAATTTGCATCCAAGAAGATACTCTAGCCCAGAGCACTGCAGTGCAGGCTTACATGATTTACCATTTTTGGGTATGAGGTCGACAGTAGTAGCAGGATAGAAAACAGGCTAAATTGCAAATTGCATTCAGACAAAATGGCTTTATACCAGAAAACAATGTCATAGTTAAATTTTGAAATTTTCAAGTAAATCAAGTTACTAATGGATTAAAGTTGAAACATTAGAAAAAAAGTTTATATTTGATGCATTGTCAATATATAAATTCTATATACTATCACTGAATCAAATAATAATATCTAATCAATGAGGTAAATCAATAATATATATCACCTCATTAATGAGTGAGTTAAATATTGATTTTGTATATTTATTTTAAGAGTTGATAGTTATTTATTAATCATGTGATATTATCTAATTCATTAACAGTGTATAAAATTTATATAGTGACAATATATCAAATATAAACTCATAATAAAAATAAGAGATACAATTGTGAAACAAAGTTATCTATCTATCTATCTATCTATATATATATATATATATATATTGCTTAGAATCCTTGTATTAGAATTTGAACTTTCATTTTAGTACAAATTAAGATTCAAACTTTATAAGAGTAATGAGATTTATAGCAAAGTTTATATTTGATGCACATACAATGTAAATATTATGCATTGTCGATGAAACATATAATGATAATTTAAAAAAAATTAATTTTAAATATATTTTTATGATTAAATGTATTTATTTTTTAAGATCTTAAAAATTTAAAATTAATTTTTATGAGATGTCATTGTGTAGTTCATATACATTGACAATATATCATTAATATAAACTCTTTTATAATATACAAGAAGTGGATTTTGATATCTATCATGCAATTCAATGAGCCTTTACATATTTCTCAAACATTTATACACTACAAGAAAAGTGCAAAAGAGTATAAAAGTGCTAATATTACCATTGCCGATAATTTTTTGATCGTCAGTTGATTGCCGGTTAGGTGAATGTCGATGAAAACTTTTCAACGATCCAGCCACCGATGTCAAAATTGCCTATGTACTTGTTGACATGACTTTTTTTTTTATATTTTAGATTACCATTATAAGAAAAAACTTTAAAAGGCATTTTAAAATACCAGAAAAAGTTAAATTTTATTTAAATTTTTTATATTTAATGAGTAAAGTATATTAACACTTAAAATAGTTCTTAAAAAAGTCTTACTTTATTTTTTAAAATAATTTTCATATTTCTAATCTTTATACGAATGAAATTAGAAAACAATTCATAACAATTATAAGCCTCCCTAATTTTTCTGATTTTAGTTGGGAATGTAATTGATTTTAGTGGACCAAAGACAATATGATATGATTTGTAGACAATGTAATTGGATAAAACTTGATACTATATTGCCATTTTCCCCCTTTTCATTGCAGAATCATTACCAATCCCATTACAAATGGCAATATAATTAAAAATTGCAACCTATAAAAATACTAGTGAACATCATTCAAAGTATAACAAAATTAAAGCATCATTTTCAAAGTATAACAGTGTAATGCAATTAGTTAAAGTACAACAGAACTAAGGAATCGATCCTTAAAGCCATCAAAACATAAAAAGTTATCACAATGTTAATTATCAATAATAATACAGTAGTATCATTTTCAAAATATAACAGTGTAATTTAATTAAAGGATAACAATGAATATCATTCTAAAGTATAGAAGAACTGAGGAATTGATACTCAAAGTTATCAAAATACCAATTATTAACACACACACACACACACACACACACACACATATATATATATATATATATATACATATATATGTGTGTGTTGGGAGTAAACGGAAAAAATTGCACAAAAAAGGGCATATAAGGAAGTAAATAATAGTATGAAATTGTTTGCATGTGCTCATGCACTTGTGACTTGCCAACTCTACATGCAACTGGAAGCCCTAAAAAGGAGCTGTAGTTGGAGTTTTTTAAATCTTTTTTCCCCTTTGGAATCTAATTTCAAATTTCCTTGATCTCTTTTTCCAATTTTAGTTTATTGTGATTCCATTGTTCAAGGAGTTAAAGTGAAGAATATGACAAAAGAAAACCCTAAGCCCTCCACTGAATAGCTACTCCTACTTCATTCCGCCCTATTCTCAAGGTCTACCCAGGTATATAAATACCCAAACCCCATATTAAAAAAACCACAAGTTTCCTTACAGGATCTCTCTTTGTATCTTCAGTGCTACTGACAGATCTTCTATCTTCCATCTGTATTAGCTGCTTAATTTCTGATCAAGGTGAGCTAGACATTATATGGATGTTCCAACTCCTTTGTTGCCTCAATTTTTTACCTTGTAGCCTTGCAACTCTCAGCACCTTTAGGTTTTGATGTTTCAAGTTTGGGTACCATTTTCCAAGCTTAATTGTGAAATTGATGCGTCTCACAAAGTTGTTTATTATTAGCGCCTTCCACTCTCAGCAGGAACTTATTGTGTTACATTTTTATCTGTGCGCTCTCCTTGTTTAATTGTGTTACTATGAAAACCAGACAAAAAATGTTCTCCATATATACGTATAGTACAGCATATTTTACGCTAGTCCAGCTTTTTTCTTTGTTATAAGATGGAATGATTATACGTCTCTCTTTTTTGTGCAACTTCTAGAGGAGAAAAATATGAGCAGGCCAGGGGACTGGAATTGCAGGTCATGCCAACACCTCAACTTCCAAAGGAGGGATTCATGCCAGCGCTGTGGGGAACCAAGATCTGGTGAGAGAGGTGACTATGGAAGTTTTGGTAGCAGGGGTGGCTCATCATTCGGGTTCACTGGCCCTGATGTTAGGCCTGGTGACTGGTATTGCACAATGGGGAACTGCGGAGCTCACAACTTCGCCAGCAGATCAAGCTGCTTCAAGTGTGGTGCAGCCAAGGATGAATCGTCTGGAGGATTTGAAGGTGACATGCCACGTATGAGGGGCTATGGTTTTGGCAGTGGCAGCTCTAGTCGCTCAAACTGGAAATCTGGGGACTGGATTTGCACTAGGTTGTTTCATTGACTGACAACTCTTGTTTTTGCCTACTTATATTATTAAAACATAAAATATACATGTTCATCCAATATAGGTAAGTGGTGAACTATTGATAGCCAAAGCTATATATTTTTCACTGAAAAGGAAAGTTTCAAAGTTGTGAACTGTTATTCCTTTTAAAAAAGAAAGACTGCTCATTTTGTCCTGCATGCTCAAGCATAAACTTGGACGTGAGAATTGATGAATATGTCTTGATATGCCAAAATATATGGGTTGTCTAATTTCCCATTCTTTTTGGGTGGAATTGGACAGGTCGGGTTGCAATGAGCACAACTTTGCCAGCAGGATGGAATGTTTCAGATGCAATGCACCAAGGGACTCCAGCAACAAATCTTCATACTAATAGATTTTTCATTTTTGGGTATGGGACTTGAATAGCTGCCAACTTTTGTCTAATTTACTCACAAATTACAGCTTTCTTTTCTAAAGAATAATAATTATTCATGACTCTGATTTCAGTAACTGCAGCCCCAGGAGACAGACAAGCCAATCGCAGATGATCACTCTTTTTTGCTGCTAGCTACCCCTCTCTCTCTCTTCTCTCTCTCTCTCTCTCTGTTGTTTGTTTGTTTGTTTGTTTTTTCTGATTATCTCTATGTAATTCTGCTACGGATCTGTGGATGAATCATGTTTGAAACCTTCAGTTGAAGTTGAGCTAAATCATTTAGCATTTTGTCAGCTTTCTTATAATATCAAATATAGGCATGTACTTTGCTATGGATTGGTATCAATCTTATATCAGTGTCTTTGTGCCTCTCTCTCTCTCTCTTTCTCTCTTTCTCTTTGCTATATCTCTTTTCTGAAGACTGCTTTTTGTTTGAAAATGGTCCAAGGAATATTTGAGTAATGTAACTTAAAATCAGCAATTGCTCACTTCTGCAAAGCAAAGTAAAAGAGGGTTATTCTTGGACCACCGTAGGATCTTTTGTTTAAACCAATGCAAGAGCAGGAATGTAGTACAACTAGTATATTTGATTCAAAAAATTATGCTTTTTTTGGCATAAAGAGGCTGCGAGATGAGAATAAGAGAAGATGTTGTAGGTGTTAGGATTTGATTTAGCAATTAAGAGAGAAGATTAAGACAACATATCATGTCCAAATGAGCATCATATCTTTGAAAAGGTGAGACATTGTTGTAATAAAATTGAGATTTAGCTTCAAAGATACGAAATATTTGCAACAACATATATGTACTTTTATATTTGCAGTAACTAAAGTTGATCTTCCACAATTTCCTATATACACTCCAAACTCTCCAAATCTATATACTAAGTTTCTCGAAATCCTCCAAAATATGGCTCAAGTTAAGACAGCAAGAGCCCTTGGGATTTATTTACGCAATGGGATTATATATATTAATGCTCTTAAGGTTAGGTGCATTTCTAATTTGGTTATAATTAATCATTTATTTCAAGGTTTCCCAATGGTTAACTGGATATGGTGGGGATTCTCTAGCTGAAACAACTCACCTATAATAACATTAAGCCATTAATTCAAACAAGTCGGTGTGGACCATACACAGATATGAAGCATACAAGCTAATTAATTATCAGCTACTATATCTATTTTTTTTTCTCCTCTTCCATCCATGGCTGTGCTATTCCACAAAACTAAGAGCATGTTACAGGGTTAATGTCCATTTACAGTAAAAGAAATATCCTTTTCAACAATCATCCAATGTTTAAAGATGAATTGTTTGAACTTTAAAATGGAAAGATTTTTAAAAATCTAGAGTTTAACTGAGTTAATTCATACAGTTATTTTTTTAAGATATAACATTCAATAGATTTAAATTTAAATCTCAACACTATAACCCATTTCTTTATCTTTAAACTGTGATCTTTTATGTAAAATAAAAAAAAAAAAAAAAAGATTTCTAGGTTCCCCTATTTTGTTTATTTTCTCATGTTTATATGTAGAAAGAACAGGTTAACACAAACATTTGGGGAGGGAGAGACACAAATCAAAAAATGCACTTCAATGCTTAGCCTCACATTGTTTGCACTTTGCACTTGTATTGAACAGTGTAATTTGGTTTCATGTAGCTCTAAAATGCCTTACTAATCACTGTAATTAATTAATTAAGAACTGCTAATCATTAATATTATCTTAATTAGAAAAGGAAGATATAACTCTTGGACATTGTACTTTCCAACATCCAATGTACCAATTATAAGGAACAATGAAAAAGTTATAGTCAAGATAGTCCATCAAATTAATTATCATTACTCCATATGTTTGCTTTCTTTGATTAATGGTTGGGGTTAATCAACTTTGATTAATCCAGCTTATATTTAAGAAAAAATTTTTATGAATAATTCACATAGGATTCCAAAGCATTTAAAGGAACCTTTCATGGGTTCCCTCATTGACCTCTTGGGGTTTGGGGTATTATATTATTATATATAATAATAATAATTTTAATTTAACAGCAAAAAATGTATATAGATTGGTCAAAAAGTAACCACACATTCATTCATTAGTGTCTGCTACTACAATCCATGATTTAGCTTTTAGCAAGATTCTTTGTTTTATGACTTTAAGCTTAGCTTTATGTTACTTCACTTCTCAATCGCTTTTGTTGATTTTAGTGAAGTGAAAGTACTTCCCATTGCATACAATCATGTTACCTAAATGTCACATTTTTGCTCTTGGGGACTGGATTCCTGCATGCTTATCCATGTTTTTGTTTTTGCCCCATTTTCAGTGCATTTGCTGCCATCATTGTTCAACTATGATCAACGGATATTGAGACAAGTTTATCTTTGATTAGTACCGAAGTCCCAAAATGAGGCCCGCATAACAAATCAAAATTAAATTTACTTTTTCTTTTAACTCTACAATTGACGCTATAAAAAATGCTTATTATCGATGAAATTTTTTATAGATAATTGCTCACATATTTAATTTTTATCTTGTATGTTTAATTTTTTTAATTTTTTATTATATAAATTAAGTTGAGTAGGTGAGTTTGGAATTTTTTTTTTTAATTTAGATCAAATTTAAAAAAATTTTGAGACTAAAAATTTTGAATTGGATTGAGTTTAAACAAACATATAAATTATTAATACAAAATATGAATCTAATCCGAACCCGATCCGACTTGATCTATGAACACTTTTATTCATATATGCTAAAGAACTTCATATACGATCTATATCTACATGAATGAGTAATAATGGATGCATTGAAAAATATTAAAATATATTTTAAATAAACAAGAACTAATAGGCAAAATACTATTGTAGATGAAACCGAAGCCTAAAACTAAGGGTTCAATCATAAAACTTTCTTTTTTTGATGCAATGAAAATATTCTCATCAAACTATTAAATGAAATATGTTTTAGTTGATTTATACAATCATCCTTAAGAGGTTTCCAACGTATTTGAAATTTAAATTTTAGCATTTATAATTTTTTTTCATATTTTTAGATTGCAATATACTTTATAAAAAAAAATACTAGAGCTGATAAATAATCAATGGATAAAACATGAGGGAGTAATTTATAAATTCAAGTTAATTATAATATTAATTATATAACAAAGTTTTAAAGTTATAATAGAAAATGAATCAACCTCTGTATTTAAGCTTAAATGAATATTTATTATTTAGTATGACAATAACCCAAAAGTATTTGGAAAATTAAGTTATTGAATCTAACAAAGGGATGAATAGACAAAATGCAAGAAAGAAAAGACAATTGTTGGACAATTGGTAGATGAAAGAAGGGCATGAACATCTTTAATCATGATTTTAAAATATCCCTTAGGGCCCCAAAGGCTTTGAAAACTGCAGAATTCACTTAAGATGAGATTTAAATGATCAACTTACTGTGATAGTCAATATTGAAAGGCAAAGACAAAAGAAACTTTTTATCCAATTCAAGGCACCAAAAAATTACTTAAACTTTTTAAAGTTTCTTCCTTTAAGTCTTTACTTTTATAAACCAAGCATGTTGAAACTTGTTAAAGTGTATGTCTTTCTAATCCTTTACAAATTACAAACCATTAGCAGTTTGCAAAAGCTTAAAGGGTGTTTTTCTTATGCACTAATGAATTACCCCTCAACATGCATGTTACAAGAATCTAGACAAAAGTAAATTTTTTCTTTTTTTCTTTTTAAATTTCTAAAGATTTAATTATTAAATTATTTAAAATTATCTTTAAGTGGATATGTCCATCCCATTTTAAGATTTGGATTCAAATTTTTTAATAAAAATTAAACTAGTTTACAAAATATCTATATTCTCTCAAAATTTTTAATTATTTGAAGTCTTACTATTTTTAATAAAATTTATTATTATGTTTTGTAACCTTTTAAAAAATATTATATTATATTATATTATATTATATTATATTTCTATTATTATTTTTTATTAATGTTTCATTTATCTATAAACTAAGAAAATTTTTAATTTTGATAATAATAATGAATTATTATTTTTATGATCATTTAAAATTAATTTTTTATTTGAATAAATTGTAAAAACTTCCTTTCACGTTAGTAAAGGTTACTATATAATTCTTTAACCTAAAAAAAATACTTTGAAATTTGTTATTACAAATTCTAAAATAATTTTCATCATTTGAGATTTTTCATATAATCATTTTTATTGTTAACCCTATCTCTTGTACTATTTAAAGTAATATGCAATACTTAAAAAAAGTAATATGTAAAATAAATATTATGTAAATAAAAATTTTAAAAATATATTTAAGGAGTGAAAGTTTTTGTAAAAAATGGAATAAAAGTAATCTATTTATATTTTGCATCTAGGTTATCTACATAAAATGGGATAAAGCTCTATGTAAGCTGTAATTGATCGAGTTTGAGTTGATATAGTATTAAGCTTAAGCTCTAACTCGATTGGAAATTCAAGACTTACAATTTGATTCGAACTCGATCGAGTTTTTTTTTTTTAGCTCGAGCTCAACTCGAGATAAAAATTAAGTTACTCGAATTCGCTCGATTAGATTCAACTAACAAATAAAAATAAGCTCGATTCTTATATTCGACAAAAGCTTAATTATTTGTGCTCGAGTTCAAGTTTGAGATGTTTTATTAATTAAAATAATAAAAATATATTTAAATACAAAATTTCGATTAAGCTTATGAGCTATTTTAATCAGATATAAAATACTCGAATTCGATTCGATTGATGAGTTGAATTACTCGAGCTCGATTCGATAATAATTGAACCGAATTCAAATTTTATTCGAATCGAATCCAAATAACTTATGAGTATTAATGGATCAGTTACATTGCTAACTCTACCTTTTGATTTATTCACTTGAAATAGAACAAGCCTTTGCCAACATAATTTTTTAGGAATTTGTTTTAATTTAACAAATAAAATCTTAAACCATTTATCTTCTCAAACTCAAATCTAACAAGAGAAATCTTAGTCCAATTTATCTTCTCAAAACCAACAAAAATTAATTCAAACATTGATCTAACCCATTTAACATATAGGCTACAATCCACCTCTCATAAACATAAAGCCCACTTCTCATATCCCTAAACCCAAACAAACCCATAAAGATAGATAGTCGTCACTTCCACAGCATCTTATGGATTCTTTTAAAACAGGGTAATAGGGACTTTTTGTTGGCGAGTGGTTTTGGGACATTTAGTTTGGGAAGTATTTTATTTATAATTTTTTTATTATAATATTATAATTAATCAATCATAATTAAAAATTTTATAAGAATCCATCACTTAAAAGTAT